GACCATGATACAAAAAGACGTCCTCTGTCATCTTGCCAATACCCTGAAGTGTGGCTTGCTCCAGCCAAAATTGCTGATTTCGCTAATGGACGGAACATATTTGCCCAGTTTTACTGGCGTCCGAGGGGAGTGGTTGGGGAAGGAGAAACAGAGGTTGACCGTGTTGACCTCGGGCGATGGGTAAGAATCTTCGGATGAGTGAAAAAGTGATGCCCAACAAGCGAGACTAACAGGTAAGTTGCTGTAGGAGAAAGCCGATCGAGGCTAGGGTTAAACTTGCCCCACTACAGGCGTTTTGATTTGTGGTATGCGAGAGCCTTCTGGATTTGAGCCTCATAAAAAATATGCATGCATCTCATTTCGACAATTGTTCTCCTCGAAACTGACAGGGATTCCATACACAGTTGAACGACAGGCGATGCATAATTAAGCTTTGACCTAAATCCGATTAACTGGTAGCCTCTAATTCGCAAATGACCCCAGAAAGAACATTGACTATAACTTCAAATATGCTTGGGTTTTTTTCTCTCGAAAGGTGACTGCAGACAATTTGGACTCTTGCACTAACTCTGGTCCTGACAGCTCAACTCTAAGCTCGAAAATGACTTATACTGAAATTCTAATATCCAAGATTATAGCCCCTCTACGTCAGTTTTCAATCTCGTATAACCCTGACTAATAGGGTAACAGTGTTTTGCTGGTTAGAATCTTACAGTGTCACAGTGCACGCGTGCAAAAATCACGGATTAAGGCAGATTAGAGGACACTTCGCAGAGTACATTGGTCGAAAATGCACTTGCTGCCAGATCGATCGTTCCACAGTAAGTTTTGGATTTAACAAGGAAGAGGGGATGATAGCCAATAAGCGTGTATTCATAAAGAAATCGGCCTAATATAAGGAAGACACAAAAACGCTGGTGCGAATTTGAAAGTGTGGGCTTGCGTCGATAGTTTTGTGTCACTGAGGATGTCTACACGCCCGATTATAGAACGCACTAACAACCAAACATCCACTTGTACTTTTAATCTGATCTCGTTGGCCGTCGTGTATGAAGTAACGCGTGCCTATAGGAATTTAGTTGACTACGGTACAAACTAAGTTACGGTATCAAACTACAACGGTGAAGTCAGGAGACCAGTTCCCATACCACAATGAAAGAACCGCAGAACACAGTACAAAACGAAAATTAACCTAGGACGATCACGCGAAAGACCCCAATTTTGTTGAGGCCATGGAGAGAAAAGAGAGCGTGGAGTGCCAACATGTTTTGCCGTCAAAGAGGCCGAGGCAATCAACAACAGAAGTCGCATCAGCGGAATGTAATGTGCACTTACAACATCAGAAATTGACTATGAGTAGGTGCGGGAGATCGGAAAACAAATAGATCAAACTACAGCTGATAAATAAGGATCATGCACGTGGGTGCAATTGAAGAAGGACCGCATAATGGAACAGAGAATGAGAAACTTTGTTGCCAATGCAACAATACTGCTCACTGGATGTCAGGTCAAAAATTAACAACAACAAAAGGTCAAAGGCAAGAGAAAGAAACACTTAAAGGTGTACTCTTGAACTCTTAAAGAAATCAGCAAGATGTGCAAATCCTCAAAATAGTTTGCTTCTTGTCTCCATACCTACCTTGGCAGTGTTTCTCCATCAACATTGTGTAGAAGAAAAACTTGGTCATACTGAGGTAGCTCGACACCTTCACCCAGCCAACGTACTGTTTCTTGGACGGTCCAGTTGTGTGCTACATAAAATAAGAAACACGAGGGCTAGTCCTGTTGTCGCAGAAACCTCAGAAAAGAAGAGCACGGAATCCGAAATGAAGCACAGTTAAACATTGGACACTACAATGCCCGTCGATATTTGTTCTGTCACAAAATTAACAGTAATGTCTTCTTAAAATCATTCGAAAGCAACATTTTAAAGCCCACAGCAACGCGGAGTTACCTTACTCACGCAACAGTGAGCACATTGGAAACAAGTGTGGTGGTTATAAAACATTACTTTCAATTATCTGAGACAAGTTGCATTCTCATTGTTTTGTGTTTTCACTTAAGGATATAACTGAACCTTCAAACTAGCAAAAACGAAATGGATTGGGTTTGCTAAGCCATTTTTAACAAATAGAAATGACGCTAAGGTCCACAGTTTTTAAATGGAACTGTAATAACTATCAAACTCATGTCAAATTTTCAGTCATTAAACGAAATTGGACTAGCATTTCACCTAGGCTGGCAGGTAAACGCACTTTAAAGACCCCTTTTAAATGTTTTAATTAACTGAGTAATAAAAGCGGAGTAAATTGACAACGTGTAGGGGCCGATACATTAATTAGCATCTCAGCTGGCCATATCCTTGTCCAAAAAGTAGGGTCGATGAGCTCTAACCGACATTTAAATTCAAAATCCAGGCATGATCTTGCCACAGATTTACTTTTTTATAGTCACATCAGTTTACCAAACAAAGGCACGAAGTAAACTGTTTATGTTTAAGTAGCAAAAAGCCACTATTGCCAGATATCAGAAATATTACCAAGGATAAATACCTGGATTACGTTGCCACGCGGCCCATAAATCGAAAAGGCTGATGATACCGTCATTCTGGCTGAGGTCTTTTTGGTGGCGTGGATCGACTGGCGAGCTCAATTTGTCTTTCAAAAACTGAAAAATAATACAGGTAGAGATTTAGAGGCAAATAAGTACTTATTTCTATCAACGATCTGATTGTAAACTATTTTGGAAACGGTGAATTCTTGAGATTTTTTGGTAAAAAAATAAACTTTAAAGTGTAAAATACAGATGTTTATACATTTTCCGATACCATGGTAATGACGGAAGACTGAACAGCCGGCCGGCTGAGTGGCCAATAAATAGGATGCCAAGAACAGAATGTACAATATCAGTATTATTACATCTGACCACGAGTTCATCTTTCTATAAACCTGAAACAACTATTCAAATGATAACGGTCGCACAGGTGCATTAGCCTATAAAAGAAGGCGTCCTCTCCTTGGGAAAATCGGGACACCTGTTAGCTAATTTATGAAAGAGTAGGGTGAAACCAAGGAATTTCTAACTAATCGGGGAGAAAAGATAAATGGACAACTAAATTCGTATTCCGCCTCTGAAAAGGCGGCTACATCTCGCGTCGTTTTAGATCAAAGCGAAATGAAAAGTATATCAATAAGATAAACAGGACTTCAAGCAAACATACATTATATATTGATCCATTATTGCTTTTGAAAAGAGAAAAGTTACCGACGCCATTTACCACTGTAACGATTAAACCTTATACCAGTTCTTCGTACTTAAAGGATCTCTACGGAAAATTAAAGATAATCAAATACCAGTATTTTTCTAGGACCGACCTAGAAAATAGACAAAATTTTCAATGGGAGACTAAGAGACGGAAGCCTGTGATTTTTGGGGGATTTGGCAACACAATATTGAAACTCCCTCTCAGCAACCTATTTACTTATAAAGCAGTTGAGGGATTGCTCTTGGCGGTTGATGTGAGTCGCTACATATAACACATTTTGGGGAAAGTTGTCTGACTTGGGAGAGCGAAAAAGAGGTTGTCGGAAATTATATCTGTTTGAATATATATTTAAAGGTTCGGTTTCTAAGTGGAATACGAAAATAGAATCTTTATGGTGTCTTGAAGTGGACATTTAATAGTCCACAGTTTGTTAATGTCTGGAGCGATGACAAAAATGCATATTCTGAAGAGTGGGGATTAATTGCACTTGCTTAAAATATTAAATTTTCAATCAAAATTTAAAATCAGAAACATTAAACGACAAATATATCTAATGGACAGAAATAATCCAGCAGCAAATAAAAATTTGTTTTGCGATTAGCAGAAAGTTACTAAATCGGCCTTTTGTGGGTAGTCAAAAGGTGTTTCGTGCAACAAAACCTTATAAAGACGAAGAATCAAGCACGCAATATTTGCAGACAAATAAACGACAAGTTCCGAGAGCCCCGTAAAGATGTCAAGTGCGTATTTGATCAGGTATAGTAAATAGATTCTCGAAGAAACTTCTCGCATGAAAAACTGTTCAGCTGAGGATAAGCGGCTAAGTAGCAATCTAAAAAGCAAGGTGATTGCAATCACATTGCCGTAGACAGTTGGTTGCTCAAGAGCTAAAAGAGATTGACAGACTTGAACAAAAGGATCCTGTGACTGGCGGAAAACATACCGACAGTGCACAAATTATTTACAAGGTTAGGGTCGGATTCAGCTTTAGTCGCGGTAAGTTATAAAGTAAGGTTGTGGGAACGGTTTGACGTTAGGGCATAACGAACACGCCTAGAAGTATAATAGGATTTGTGGTGGACTTTCGATTTCAACATTATGCCGAGAAGTAGCGTTTGCGTTACGGGACAGCACATTAGAATTCGCGCTTTACTATCCTCCGACACAGGGTCAGGAACCTGGGCGGCTAACCTATGAGGAGAAAGAATGAAAAGTGCTCTTAACCCACCTTACTTGTACGTTAGTTCATTCCTGAATATATAACACTTTATTCTAATATCTTCGCCGTCCGCAAATGCCTCATTAATGACTTCGCCCCAAAAACACGATATATACACAAAAGCTAAACTTTATTGTATGCGTACGACAGATGTTCTTAAAATACACTAGACCGATCGGAAAATTATTTTTATGTTTGATCATTGTCATAAAAATTAGACGACTACCGGCACATCAAAGTTCAGAATGCAAACTCAATTTCGAGTTTTTTCACTACCTTAACAAAAACAAGTGTGGAAAATATATATTAAGCGTATTCGCCGCTAGAACTTGGAGATATATTGCTCGTGTTCGCTAGGACGCTAGCCTGTGGCTCCACGAAAAAAATCAGATGTACACCCTGCAGATGTAGACAAGACTAACCTTTTCGGCTTCTGAGAAGTCGACGCCACCACTACTATCCCCATCAAGTTGAGCATGTAAGTCTGAAATGGCCTCAAAGGCCAAAGTCTTTTTGAGACATGAAGACAGGTGGTTTTCCTGGTTGCAGACACTAGGGTGAGCTGAAACTGACAGATGTAAATAGGACAAAATGATTACCTGTCAGTAGTCCGAAGCACGATACAAAAATTACAATGGAAAACATTATTTGAATTTATAAGTGGACGTTAATTAGCAGCATCCTCATCGCCAAATTCCCGCGGCAAATACCGCAGCAACGAAGCGTTTGCAGCGTAACCCTGTAAGATAATTATTAACTTTCCCGCATTTATTTTAGCTTAGTTGAAGCGGAGCCTTTAAAGATCTGACCTGGAACGAAAACTGGCTAAGTAATTAATTAATTACAAGCGTCTAACCTCAAGCTTACTTGTGGAGTTCACTATAGAAACCTAGCAAAGCAACTATTATTTAAGAGTGGCTGGCAAACTCACGTGCTCAGATCCGCCAAAGAAGAATTAACTGAAATTGGTAGACTCCTTTTACGTACTGAATGAACAGCCTCGGTGGGCAGAATACCACTGTCATAGATGCTTAGATTACTGTTGGTATGCAAAGCGCGTATTAGTGCTTGCACTGACGGGATCCCGTCAGTGGGTCGACCCACGTTATATTGCTTAAGGATCTACGATGAGATAAAGGCAGTGCGTGCAATGTTTTGATGTTCGTGTATTTTTTTAAAAATATGACGCCTAGGTAAGTAGCAATGACCTGCATGGCAACGATTAGATATTTTAAATGCATGCGCATATTACACAAAAAAGAAAGTACATTGAAGAACAATAGTGGTATAGGTACGCTTTATAGAAATTGCCGATAAATAAGCTGTGGTCTGTGGAGTACAGTTTATTGACTGTTACTGCGTGAAATTCAA